TTCCTCTAGTTTCTCTGCAGAGCATATTCTCCTCGCTCTATAGTACAGAGTCTTGACTAGTGCTCGTTTATAGCTATTTGGACAAAAACTATTAAAATGTAAGTATTGTCCATTCCATGTGGGCTTTCGGTAGATTGACCTCTGGAGGCTACCATCTTCTAGGCGTTTTATGGCGACGTCAAGGAAATGGAACTGTCCATCATTTTCATGTTCCATAGTAAATACAATATTTGTATGTGCGTTGTTGAATAGTCTGAGTAGGTAGGAGGCATGACTTTCGTTGTTGCATACTACAAATGTGTCATCGACATATCGACAATAGGAAGTTGTTTGATCAATTGCATGCTTCAGCTTTGTTTTCTCAAGGTTTGACATAAAGATATCTGCTAAAACAGGGCTAAGTGGACTGCCCATAGCTACACCATCTATTTGTCGGTAAAGAGTGTTGTCAAACTGGAATTGTACACCCATGGTACACATTAGCAGTAGGCGTTTGAATTCCGGCTCTGGTAGTGGGAGAAGATCAGACTGTTGACAAATGATCTCAATGGTTTCATTGATTGGGATCATTGTGAACAAGGAGGTTGCATCAAATGAAGCCATGAACTTATTTGAAACGTTCATGTGATTCACGCTTTCAGCAAAATGAAATGAGTCCTTTATGGTGTGCGCGGCCAGCCTTTGGCGAATGGGTTCCAACTTCTCCGCGAGCCAACGGGCAACCTTATGTTGGGGAGAGTTGATCATCGAAAGTATAGGTCTCAGAGGGACTTCTTTCTTGTGTGTCTTTGGAAGGCCATATATATATGGCAAGCGGGACCCTCGGGGTTTCAATTCATTGTACGTGTTGTTGCTGTAAGCAGCTGACGAGAAGCCAACGATATATATGATGGTACCATGTTATTCTGCACAAATCAGTGTTGTTCTCGCTTTATTCAAACTTAAAGGGCTGTTGAAATCTACATGTCACAAGAAAACACTTTATTTTCTTCTGTAGTTGGTTTGTAAGGATTAGTTTTGCTTTTACGAGTTGATTACGAATTGATATTAGTTACAGAACCATTGAAAACCAGCCACAGGGAGTACTGGACAACCAGCTGTTTCATCCTAGTTGGGAATCATCGCCAGTACACACAGACCACCTGGGTTCGAACCCAGGACCTTGCGGTTACAAGGCGATCTGGCTCATGTACCACTCAGTCACTGAGACCTGATTCCATGCTCATCCCATGAATTCTAACTCATGCTAATTCGTGATTTAGCGTAACACCAAAATTATCATAGGTGGGACATCCATCCCGACGTTCAACTGGATGGAACTGACTGGTCACGACTTCTCACCATCCTGTAGCTATTCACTAGCGAGCATCAGATAAATTTTCGATAATTGATTTGTAAGAATTATCTTTGTTTTTCCGATTTGATCACGGATTGATGTCCGTCAAAAAATCATTGAAAACTTTATTTTCTGTTTCGTACTGTTTATCAGTAAGCATCTCTGTTCCGGCACATGAGTTCGCACCCAGGTGCTTTAGGTTCCTATGAAATTCTATTCTTTATTCACATATAGGATTGGAATCTGAATAATCATGCAATTTTACTACTTCAGTTCGCGATACAGCATTATTCTTTCTCCGTATCATCGACAGTTATCTACCTTCACATTTAATATTGGTGAAACCAAATGTTTGCCAAGTATTATTATAACTCTAACAAGTTTCTCCTTTGTTCAACTACTAATGAACACTGGTTTAATTCTCACATTTTGTTTCGTTTAAAAATCACTGCAAACAAAGGATCCTAAACTAAAGAGTGTTCATGTCGAGATCTATCAAAATATAACGAAATTCATACAAACCAACTCTTAAATGTTATTATGTTTCTCACTATTGACTAAATTTACTTGGTAATGTTTGCATATCAGTTTTTTTCTTCATCGGGTGAAAAGAAACTATAGGAGCCTACAAATAAAGGATATTTAGATGTTTAGAATGCTTAGTTATGTGATTCCACCTTACCCTAACCTCTTACTTTAGCTCTGATCTTAAACCTACTTGATAATTCGAATGTACACATTAAAAAAAAACATGTCAGTCAGGCCACCAGAACGCTGCATTCATGTCTAGTGGAGTCATGATTGTCTTTCCAAGGTTTTATGTGACTATTATACTTGACGTTGATCCTTTTTTTGTTCAATGTTCTTATGTTTTTTCGCTTATTTGGACACTAATTGTTTTACTAAGTACCCTTTTTTATTCCTTTACGTTCCCAGTGAAATATAGGGCTTCAAACTAGAGCCCTGTAGTTTCTGTAACAGTGGTGTTTATTTTTAACGGGATGGGGTTACTAGCCTCATGCCCAACTTTCCTTCTTTATCAACGTTATTACTGGCTTAGCGAGGTAAAGGAGTGCGTCTGTAGCCGGAGATGGAACCCCGGATCACATGAGGAGTGGTCGGCGAGCGTTCTACCTTCGTTTCACTGACACACAAAGTACCCTTTGATAGACAATTATAAACAAGAATTCTTAAAAAGTCTCTTTGTTAACATCTGCAAAGGTACCAGCTCAAATCAATATATGTATATATACCTCTGAATAATCATCTGTTTGATTTAACGTTATGTTGAAACCTGAAAACTCTCTCTTTACCTGTAGATACGTGAAGAAATTGTTTGAAATTTAAATAAATGAGGATAACTTAGACGAATTTTCGCCTTCCATGAATATAACAGTTGTTGGCACAAGCCTTATAGCAGAATACAAAACAGGTTTATAAGAAAGAATATATTTAATAAACGATTTGACTTTATTACATAACTTTTAACCATCAAAGTATCTGTTCCGTACCACTGTATCTTATTTGAACATAATACTCCGGAACCAATACTTGAAAACATTACTATTATGTTGACTAGCTTTGACTGTATTTAACTGAAACGTTGCTAGGCTGTTCAAATACTCTAGAGTAAAAGTGTTCAAATTTTAGTTCGCCTATAATCCTAGGGATTTTGAATGACTTAGCAACATGTCTCTTATCGTCAGTTTAGTTTATCAAATCTTAATCCAGTCATTAAGACGTGTAATAAGACCTATACGACAACACAAAACTGACGAATAATGTAAACTTAATTTTCTCTATAGCTCAACGCTAGCTATAGTTTTCTGACCCCATGTCTTAGTTATGACTATGCTAACTGTCCATCGTGAGCTGATAAAGTGCAAGGGTCAGAAAAATAATGAAGCACATATTAGATGTTTCGTAGTACTTTGGAGTTCTTCAACAGTGTATTACTCAAATAGCATATGACAGTTCCCTTAAAAGTATCCTTGGATAAATTTAATTCAATTAAGTTATACTATATTCTATGAACAATAATGCATTTATCCTATTCCACTAAGTGATATCAATTCAGATATCTATATCACATGTTGCAAATTACATACTTGTACCAAAAATACGGCTATAAACAAAAAATTACTGTGTTTGAATTAAGGTATGTAGCAGTAATGATATATGAAATATGGATATTGTTAAAAGTTATTTTGAATTAACTATATTACATTCATATGAACTGAGATCAAGATTTGATCGAACAGTTCCAAACTAATTAGGCGACAAGTGAGAAGTAGACATTTGTAAGACTTATATGTGTAAAATCTATGAAAAAATTAAAATGATTAATTCCAACGTTTTGTTCGACAATATGGTCTGAACGTCTTCAGGGAATGTTGATACCTGTTTCTTGATTGGACAAAGATTTTAAAAACAATGTTTATATATATATATATATAAATATATACAAGTGCTGGTTTGTAGGGATTCGATTGGTTTCAGGATTTCATCATGAGCTGACATTAGTTAGAGAACCACTGGGAAACCTAGGAGTACTGGATAGCTGTTTCGTCCTCGTTACCGACTCTTCATCAGTACGCACCCACCGGGATTCGAACCCAGGAACTTCCGGTTACCTGGGTTCCAGTGAGAAGTCGTGAACAGTACGGTGCAGCGGGTCGGGGTGTGGAGACAAATAATCACCGAAGACATTGGCTGGCGGTCGCGCTATGTCGTGAATAGACAGAAGTTAGAATTCAAGGACCATTGGATCAGGTCCCAGCTGCTTAATGTTATACGAGCTCGCCTTGTAACCGGAAGGTCCTGGGTTAGAGTCCCGGTGGGTGCGTACTGATGAAGACTCCCAGACTAGGACGAAACAGCTGTTTAGTACTACCAGGTTTTCCAATAATGTCAGCTCATGATGAAATCCTGAAATATATATATACCTCTGTTCTGTCAATTTCGATTAATTTCCCTGAAGAAGTTAGGGCCAGATTGCCGAGCGAAATGTTGGAATTAATCATTTCAATTTCGCTGAAATACAAATTTCACAAACTATATAACAGTTTAACGAATGTTTGCAGAAATGTAAGTCTGAATAAATTCTAGCACAGGGCATACAACACGGCTAATAATTCTCAGTTCCTGACATGAATGATTCAGATAATACATTTACATATCGCCTATAAATGCAGCTCCCTATGGAACACTGCACTTCCTACGCATCGAAAGAATTGGTAAAGACACACTGAATTTTAATTACCCTTACAAAATTATTTTTTCAGACGTAGTATATAATGTGGAGCAGAGATTCATACGGCTGTATGCATTAGTGGTTGAGCTTTCGCCTACTACGTAAAGTATGCAAACCGCCTACAAGTAGATTTCAGTTAACAAATAGTTAAACAAGTCATCAGTTTTGTGTGAATTCTAGCCACCATTAAAATTATATCAACAGAAACAGGGAAGGTTGAAGGGCAGATGGAATATTGATTAGTGGTCTGAGTGAATTAAAGTGTGAAGGCCATATAAGGCAAAAAAGCCAATTGGCCAATAAAGACACAGCCTGGACAAATACAAGCAGGCGTTTCTGATTGGTTCTCATTATTCACAGAAATATATATAAACGAACGGCCAACCACTCCTCATAGTCATCGTCTCTTGGTGTTTCGCTATGGCTCGTACAAAGCAGACTGCTCGCAAATCAACTGGAGGAAAGGCCCCAAGAAAGCAGCTGGCCACCAAGGCTGCCCGTAAGAGTGCACCAGCCACCGGTGGTGTTAAGAAACCACACAGATACAGGCCTGGGACTGTCGCCCTACGTGAGATTCGTCGTTACCAGAAGAGTACTGAACTGTTGATTCGCAAATTGCCCTTCCAACGCCTCGTCCGTGAAATCGCTCAGGACTTCAAGACTGACCTTCGTTTCCAGAGCTCAGCAGTTTCTGCTCTGCAAGAAGCCAGTGAAGCCTACTTGGTTGGTCTCTTCGAAGACACCAACTTGTGTGCCATCCACGCCAAACGTGTTACAATCATGCCAAAGGACATCCAGTTGGCTCGTCGCATTCGTGGTGAGCGTGCTTAGATGTTTGTCGGTTAGGAACCCAGAGAACGATGCAAAGGCCCTTTTTAGGGCCACTACATACTGATTCATTGTCTTTGACTTTGTTAGTTTACTTTGAATTTGTGTGTATCGTGCATAGGTTATTCGTATGGGTTAATAGTTGGTGTAAGTTGATCGTGTGGTCCTTAGATGCGTATGCGCCGTTGATTTGATGCGTAAGACTGGGTTAGTGCTTGGGTTTTTTAAAATCAGCGGGTGGCAGTAGCTTGTGTGTCAACTTTTATGTTGATGACGGTTGTAGATTGTGAGGAGGCAGATAATCCTAACATACATCAGATTGAAGATGATTATGTTCATAATGTGCTCATTTGACGTTAATTATTGAAGTAGACGTATGGTGTGGTTTCAAGACGTCAGTTTGTGAGATCTAATGCGCTGATGAGCACGTTGTGATTCTCCCAGCTGTAAGGAACGAAATGGATTAGGTCCGGTGATTCCGAAAATCATGTAGACTGTCATGAGACTTTACTCATTCGTGGGGGCCTACATACATGTTTAGGAATATATACTGCAGATGGTTGCGATTCCTGAGGATTCATTGGTACAGTGACTTACGTCGGTTGAGATTCTACATTTCGAAATGGGCAGTCTATCAAGCAAATCTTGTTGCAGCAAACGTGGGTGTGAATGTAAGTGTAAGTCCCTAAAACGTGAGGCTGCTGTTGATACCACATGCGTAATACTAGGCTAGTGTCAGATGTCTTTTGACCTCGAGCACGCGAGAGCGGAATGGCAGAACTGGCGTATTTAGAGCATCATTGATGCGGTCTGCTCGCAAGATGTTTCATTCCTGCCACTAATTTCTAGGCCTTGATTCTGCAGACTCTTCATTCTAGATTATCCGAAGGAGCACACTGCGACGGATTGGACGTGCCCACCGGGTACACTTAGGTCGGGCTTCAAATTCTTGTGGATACAGAACACAAGGTTGATGTCAACGAGGCTTTCAAAGTGGACTACCGCATATCAACTAATCGTAAATTCACCTTAAGAGTTTGTCTACAACATATTGCTGAGACTGTTGCGATCCAAATTAATAAGTCTAATTAATGTGTTCCAAAGAAGCTAGATCAGATATTCTCCTTATCTAGGGCCATCTAGGGTTATCTAATAATCTTCAATTTCTTAAGGAAATTTCCTTAATTTTAGTTGATATTCCATTTGCTATCATAGAAAATATAATTTAAGCATCTTTAATGAACTGTTATTTCATTCATCTTACCTAACAAATCGATATAATTTTAAGAAAATACACTAATAATATTTTCTATAGATTCGTTCGTAAGGGTTTGTTATGTTTTTAAGAGTTTGCCTTGTAACCGGAAGGTCCTGTGTTCGAATCCGACTAGGTGCGTACTGCCGATGATTCCCAAACTAGGATGAAACAGCAGCTGTCCAGATCTCTCTGGTTTTCAACGGTTCTCAAACTGATATCAATCCGTGGTCAACTCTTAAAAACTAATAATATTGTAATTGACTACTATTTTGCAATATTCTGTTTGTATATATATATATATATATATATATATATTTGTAGAACCAGAAGTGGGGATTATCGAAAAGGATATTCTTTGCTCAAACATTTGTTTTTCATAAATGTCTGAATGAACATCTGTTTATAGACAGAATTTCAAACCCACAAGGTTGTGATATTTCTGAAAAAATATGGATTAAAATAGATTTAATGTATCTGGCAACATTTTGTTATATACTCCTCATCGAGAAAATGTTATTGTGAAGCAATTTTTTAAAAGTTTGAGTTCTGAATTTCAATTTTTAGCACTTGTGCTCACAGTACGGTGATGTTAAGAATTCTTTGTGCCCTCTAGCTTCGATAATACTTGAGAGTTATCACGACTTAAGGGCATATTTTTTTTACTTAGCTATGTATTGTAACCTCAGATTTGACAGTGAGATATACTTTGTCAACAAAATGGGTGGTAAACACAAATGTTGACCAATCTTTGCCAGTTAAACTTGAGACACTGCCGTCAAAAGTGATGATTCGTGATGTCAGTATAATTTGAATTTAGGTTGTACGGTTGGATGAACTCGAAATGGAACCGCTGACTTCGTTTTCTTGCTTACTGACAGTCATATGTAAATACTCAAAAGAAATGTCATCATTTAAGTTATTTAAACCCTAAATACTTTCATGCAGCGTTTAGAGACGCTTCAAGTGAGCCACTTCTACCGTAGCTGAGTTAGGTAAACAATGTACTGAGTTGAACTCAAATCATAGAAACAAGAAACAAACAAAATTACAGATTATAAAAGAGGGTGAGGTTAAAGACAAAGATTACGCAATCAGATGAGAGAAAAAAGACATCCAGTTACCAAGGCAAGGAAAGACTAATAACTGATTCTTTCTGAACACATAGATCTGGTTTCAAGCGTTTGATAGAAATTGCTTCGGCAAACTTGAGGAGAATGGAGCTCCTTTGTCTATTGATAATTTTGAAGGATTTCTCGATTTCCACCTCATGACCCGTGTCGAGGAGATGTCTGGTAATAGCGCTGCTATAAGAGTTTGTTCCCTTGAGACGTAGGCTTTTCGGCACATGTTCAGAAAATCGGAGGTGTGCCCTTCTTTCTGTTCTCCCAATGTAACTGCTCCCGCAGATACACGTAAATTTGTATACACAGTTGGAGTTAACATGAGAAGGGTATCTATCGACTTTTGACTGCACCAAAGAGCATGTTGTTCGGTGGACGGGAACCAACTTAGCTGCAGGATAGGCTCTGGCTAGTGACGTCCTCAGTCTTCTGCAATGTCTTCACCTTTAAAGTCTAGTTGAATGAAGACAGGCTTTTTTTCGACTGTGATTTGTTTGGTATTTGGGCCTTCACATCTTCCATATTTGTTAATGAATTTTTGAGTATAGCCGTTGTTTTTCAGCACCTTTTCGAGATTCGTGAATTCTTCCTCTAGTTTCTCTGCAGAGCATATTCTCCTCGCTCTATAGTACAGAGTCTTGACTAGTGCTCGTTTATAGCTATTTGGACAAAAACTATTAAAATGTAAGTATTGTCCATTCCATGTGGGCTTTCGGTAGATTGACCTCTGGAGGCTACCATCTTCTAGGCGTTTTATGGCGACGTCAAGGAAATGGAACTGTCCATCATTTTCATGTTCCATAGTAAATACAATATTTGTATGTGCGTTGTTGAATAGTCTGAGTAGGTAGGAGGCATGACTTTCGTTGTTGCATACTACAAATGTGTCATCGACATATCGACAATAGGAAGTTGTTTGATCAATTGCATGCTTCAGCTTTGTTTTCTCAAGGTTTGACATAAAGATATCTGCTAAAACAGGGCTAAGTGGACTGCCCATAGCTACACCATCTATTTGTCGGTAAAGAGTGTTGTCAAACTGGAATTGTACACCCATGGTACACATTAGCAGTAGGCGTTTGAATTCCGGCTCTGGTAGTGGGAGAAGATCAGACTGTTGACAAATGATCTCAATGGTTTCATTGATTGGGATCATTGTGAACAAGGAGGTTGCATCAAATGAAGCCATGAACTTATTTGAAACGTTCATGTGATTCACGCTTTCAGCAAAATGAAATGAGTCCTTTATGGTGTGCGCGGCCAGCCTTTGGCGAATGGGTTCCAACTTCTCCGCGAGCCAACGGGCAACCTTATGTTGGGGAGAGTTGATCATCGAAAGTATAGGTCTCAGAGGGACTTCTTTCTTGTGTGTCTTTGGAAGGCCATACATATATGGCAAGCGGGACCCTCGGGGTTTCAATTCATTGTACGTGTTGTTGCTGTAAGCAGCTGACGAGAAGCCAACGATATATATGATGGTACCATGTTATTCTGCACAAATCAGTGTTGTTCTCGCTTTATTCAAACTTAAAGGGCTGTTGAAATCTACATGTCACAAGAAAACACTTTATTTTCTTCTGTAGTTGGTTTGTAAGGATTAGTTTTGCTTTTACGAGTTGATTACGAATTGATATTAGTTACAGAACCATTGAAAACCAGCCACAGGGAGTACTGGACAACCAGCTGTTTCATCCTAGTTGGGAATCATCGCCAGTACACACAGACCACCTGGGTTCGAACCCAGGACCTTGCGGTTACAAGGCGATCTGGCTCATGTACCACTCAGTCACTGAGACCTGATTCCATGCTCATCCCATGAATTCTAACTCATGCTAATTCGTGATTTAGCGTAACACCAAAATTATCATAGGTGGGACATCCATCCCGACGTTCAACTGGATGGAACTGACTGGTCACGACTTCTCACCATCCTGTAGCTATTCACTAGCGAGCATCAGATAAATTTTCGATAATTGATTTGTAAGAATTATCTTTGTTTTTCCGATTTGATCACGGATTGATGTCCGTCAAAAAATCATTGAAAACTTTATTTTCTGTTTCGTACTGTTTATCAGTAAGCATCTCTGTTCCGGCACATGAGTTCGCACCCAGGTGCTTTAGGTTCCTATGAAATTCTATTCTTTATTCACATATAGGATTGGAATCTGAATAATCATGCAATTTTACTACTTCAGTTCGCGATACAGCATTATTCTTTCTCCGTATCATCGACAGTTATCTACCTTCACATTTAATATTGGTGAAACCAAATGTTTGCCAAGTATTATTATAACTCTAACAAGTTTCTCCTTTGTTCAACTACTAATGAACACTGGTTTAATTCTCACATTTTGTTTCGTTTAAAAATCACTGCAAACAAAGGATCCTAAACTAAAGAGTGTTCATGTCGAGATCTATCAAAATATAACGAAATTCATACAAACCAACTCTTAAATGTTATTATGTTTCTCACTATTGACTAAATTTACTTGGTAATGTTTGCATATCAGTTTTTTTCTTCATCGGGTGAAAAGAAACTATAGGAGCCTACAAATAAAGGATATTTAGATGTTTAGAATGCTTAGTTATGTGATTCCACCTTACCCTAACCTCTTACTTTAGCTCTGATCTTAAACCTACTTGATAATTCGAATGTACACATTAAAAAAAAACATGTCAGTCAGGCCACCAGAACGCTGCATTCATGTCTAGTGGAGTCATGATTGTCTTTCCAAGGTTTTATGTGACTATTATACTTGACGTTGATCCTTTTTTTGTTCAATGTTCTTATGTTTTTTCGCTTATTTGGACACTAATTGTTTTACTAAGTACCCTTTTTTATTCCTTTACGTTCCCAGTGAAATATAGGGCTTCAAACTAGAGCCCTGTAGTTTCTGTAACAGTGGTGTTTATTTTTAACGGGATGGGGTTACTAGCCTCATGCCCAACTTTCCTTCTTTATCAACGTTATTACTGGCTTAGCGAGGTAAAGGAGTGCGTCTGTAGCCGGAGATGGAACCCCGGATCACATGAGGAGTGGTCGGCGAGCGTTCTACCTTCGTTTCACTGACACACAAAGTACCCTTTGATAGACAATTATAAACAAGAATTCTTAAAAAGTCTCTTTGTTAACATCTGCAAAGGTACCAGCTCAAATCAATATATGTATATATACCTCTGAATAATCATCTGTTTGATTTAACGTTATGTTGAAACCTGAAAACTCTCTCTTTACCTGTAGATACGTGAAGAAATTGTTTGAAATTTAAATAAATGAGGATAACTTAGACGAATTTTCGCCTTCCATGAATATAACAGTTGTTGGCACAAGCCTTATAGCAGAATACAAAACAGGTTTATAAGAAAGAATATATTTAATAAACGATTTGACTTTATTACATAACTTTTAACCATCAAAGTATCTGTTCCGTACCACTGTATCTTATTTGAACATAATACTCCGGAACCAATACTTGAAAACATTACTATTATGTTGACTAGCTTTGACTGTATTTAACTGAAACGTTGCTAGGCTGTTCAAATACTCTAGAGTAAAAGTGTTCAAATTTTAGTTCGCCTATAATCCTAGGGATTTTGAATGACTTAGCAACATGTCTCTTATCGTCAGTTTAGTTTATCAAATCTTAATCCAGTCATTAAGACGTGTAATAAGACCTATACGACAACACAAAACTGACGAATAATGTAAACTTAATTTTCTCTATAGCTCAACGCTAGCTATAGTTTTCTGACCCCATGTCTTAGTTATGACTATGCTAACTGTCCATCGTGAGCTGATAAAGTGCAAGGGTCAGAAA